CTCATCCAGACATTCACCGGCACGTGCTACAGTTTGGCTTCTCCTGACCTGCTCCCAGTTCCAGCTCATGCTGACAGGTGCTGCAGCATCTCTCAGCCCAGCCAGCCCGAAGTCCCAGCCATAATGTGAATTGGTTTGCCCATTTCCAGCCACAGATCTTGTGCATGCCAGTGATTGTTCCAACCCAGCCCTGTACAACACATCACCTGACTTGGGCTTTGCCATTGGATGCTGCATCCTGGCCTGGCCTACTTTGGCCCACCCCAGCCTGCTCCCAGTCCTAACTGCCACTGGTGGGTGCTGTATCCTAGCCCGGCCAAATCTGCCCCCATCCCAGGCTGTCATGCAAACAGGCAGTTACAGAAGCCTAGTCCAGCATGACCTGCGCTTTATCTTGGCTCCAATATATGCCAGTATGTACTATGACTTGGCTTGGGCTTGCCAGTCTTCTCTCCAGCCAGCTCACATGCCTGCTCACAAGTGGAACATCCCTGCCTTGTCTAGCTCACACCCAGCCCCAACTTTTGTGCTTACCAGTGGGAGCTATAGCCTAGTAGGTGAGTTGCCCAAGTTACCCCACCAGACCTGGTTCTAGACTCAGATCTCTTGTGTATCTGTGTGCTAGGGCCTTGTCCAGGAGAGTCCACTCCCTCCGCATTCTCGGCCTTTGTGAGTGCTTATGGATGCTGTGTCCCAGCCAGTCACCACACCCAATTCTTGGGCGCACCTATGGGTACTGCAATTGGGCCAGTCCAGCCTACTCTCAACCCCGGTTCCCAAGAGTGTTATGTTCTGTGGTCATACCTAACTCAGCCCATCACCACCCCAGCTCTCATGCAAACCAGCAGGTATTGCAGTCCCACAGGAATGAGCCCACAAATTCCCCTGAGAATCTGATCCCAGAGTTGGTTCTCTCGCATGCTGATTAGTGTCATTCCCAGCCTGATATGACTCACACCCTACCCTGGCTCACTAGTGGGTACTGTGGCCTCATCCTGCCAGTCAGGAACCCTCACTTTCCTGTGCCCCAGTGGGCTGTGATTTATGCCAGCCAGCTCAGACTAGGTCTCCCTGGTGTCCTGGTCTGACCCAGCCATGACCTGTGCCTCAACACCATCCCCTCCAAACCACCCAGTCATAGCCCTCTTAGTTATGTGCAGTTGCAGTGTTATAGTCCATGGAAGTCCCCAGAACTCATTCCTCATCTGTGATGTATTTCCTTAGTGGTCACCCCACCCACACATCCCCAAACTTCCCTCCTGGGATGTAGCCACCAAGTCCACCGCCGAGTTGGGGGCAGGCCCCGGATTCGGTCTTCCAGCAGTATGATACACATCGCCCAGGGTCTCAGAAGATTCTGACTTTATATCAAAATGATTTTCCTTTTTCTTTGCAATACTGGAAAATATTGTCTCAACATTATGTGTTGGCGCCATCTAGTATAGGAATGGAAGAGCTAACTTAAGAAACATACATGACTGGCAATTTCTGAGGAATATGAAATGAATGTAAGTACAGGTAGTTTACATATGGCAAAGGTCATGAAGCATGAGTGAGAGGTTGGGTAACTTGAAGTCCCAAAGGGAGAAGAATCAACTGTATGTATATTAATATATGAAGTTATTATTCAGTAACAGTGTGAACGATATAATGGCTACATGTGACAACATGATGTAGTACATTCCTTCTAACTGTTCCATGTTAGAATTGGAAAGCTAAGTTCTTTGCAAATATGCTGTCACTTCATTAGTTGAAATCCCTTCCACCCTCCCAAAACCCAGACCTATTTTATATTAAATTCGAAACACTTCTGTGTACAGGTACACAGGCTGAGGCTGCTAATCAGAAGGCCAAAGTGTCCGTGCGTTTAATTACTGCCCAGTAGGCTGGGCAGGGAGTTGTGGGGTGTGCAGCAAGCAGCTTCCACACACAGATATGTGTGCAGATGATAAGGGAAATATTTGTTCCTTTTTACAAGCATAAATAAGTGGAATTAACCAATTTCCCAGAACAAGAAGCATGACTTACAATGTATTTTGCTATATTAACACCTCTGAAAAATGCAGTTTTGTTCCTGCATTGTGTTAAAAATAATAATACAAAGCTTTCGTATAAAACCTATTCAGTTACACTTAGTGTATAATTTGAGTAATGGAGTGCGTGTGTGCCTGTTATTATGTCAAGATTAATATTCATTTTGTCACTTTTGAATCCATTATAGTTTAGCTTTTGGATGGGTAGATTTTTGCTTTCTTTTCTACTGTATTTTTGTCACTGGTTAGAAAAATGTAATATTGAAAAGGTGCATTGTACAATCTTTTTCAGTTATGCATAATGAAAATGTGTATGGGATTTGATCTTTTTTAAAAGGAGAAAAATCTGCTATTTAAAGCTGTGCATATTCAATAGGGAGGATTTTAATTTATGTTTAGTCTCATTCTTTTGGTAGCATGTACCTTAATCTGTTTTTGTTAGAAAAGAAATTCTTGATATAAACTTCATTCAAGTTTAAAATGCTTTGGGCAAGGCATGGTAGCCCAGCAGCTTAATTCCTCACTTTGTGCCAGGATCCCATATTTGTGCCAGTTCAAATCCTGGCAGCTTCACTTCCCATCCAGCTCCCTTCTTGTGGCCTGGGAAGGCAACTGAGGACAACCTAAAGCTTTGGAATCCTGCACCCACATGGGAGACCTGGAAGAAGTTCCTTGCTCCTTGCTCCTGGCTTCGGATTGGAACAGCTTTGGCTGTTGTAGTCACTTGGGGAGTGAGTCATCAGATGGAAGATCTTTCTCTCCTCCTCTCTGTATATCTGACTTTGCAATAAAAATATAATAAATCTTTAACTAAATAAAATGTTTTCATGGTGTATTATGAGATAAGCAAGTAAATAGTACATTTCTGATTTGAAAGAAAAATATAAAATTTAATAGGATACTGTTTTTCTGATAAAATTTTTGTACAATGCTGTCATTTACTTTACAATGCTAGACAGAAAATTACTATTTTAAATAATTCATTTGCCAGGGCTATTGTTGCAGTACAGTCAGTTAAAACATCATTTGTGACACTTGCATTTTATATTAGAATGATCGTTTGGGTCCCAGATGTTCCACATCCAATTGAGTTCTCTACCAGTGTGCCCGGGAAAGCAACAGATGCACCACTCAAATCAAAATATATTTCTTCTCATGCATACTTGCATTCTGTAATTCTCTCCACCCAAATACGCTGATCTGCATCCTGTAGATAAAGTTTGTTTTCCCCTGAATTTTGCATAATTAAAACTGTGTAGCACATCCCTTCCTTTTATAAATATGCCTTCACAGATTCATTAACCTGGCCTGTAGCAGTGGGTTATTCTTTTACCATGACTGTGCAATATTTCAAAATGTGAATATCCTCTAATAAGTATTTTTTGTAAGAACTTTCCTGTAATTCGTAATAAGATGGCCTTGAAATTTCTGTGAAGAAATCAAAGCACAAATTTTTCTCTACTGGTGACCTTTTTTGTCCTTTTTGGGGTAAATAAATGACATTAGTAGTAATCATTAAACTTAAGGCAGTCCAGTTTGTCTTGGGATGTGGTTGTATTTCATTGGCCTGTAAGGTTGTCCCCATTTCAAGGATATTTAACAATTTCTATTTGTTTAATATGGAATGGGAAAATGATCCTTTAAATTGTCATGTCTCATTTTAGGTTTCCTTCTGAGCTAGAGTTTGAAAGAATTTACATATTTGCCATTTTTTTATGGTCTTCAGGACAAGCATAGGAGAAGGAAAATTTGTGTGCTGTTTTCAGGCTCAGGTCCTGCGTTGTGGTCACTGCTAAGACCCTTTGAAGGCCTCCTTTCTGGCCACAGGGGTATTTTGAGACTGGGAGATATGACTGGTTTTCCCAACTCAGCTTGGTTCTGGGGCATGTGGAGAGTCCTGACAACTTTCTCTGATTCCACAGACTGGCTTCCAGATGGTTCAGAGATTCATGAACACTCTGACAGTTTGGTTACTCATAATCATTATTATTATTTTTAATAATCTTACATAGTTGATTAGGGTAAAGAGGGCCAAGGGCTATAGGAAAGTGGGTAAGACCATCGTTTCCACACTAATATCATCATTTTTCCCCCTGTTTCTGGGCTCAGGGAAGAAACAAAGGGAGAAGCCCCACCCACCCTACCACCCTCCCAGGATACTGATGTGGGGCATGCTCCAAGGGTCCTGTTCAAGCAGTTTTGATAGTTCAACAGTTCTGAATTGCTGCCAATCTCACCATTCCAAGCACAATGAAATCTATTCAGAATCCGCTGGCTGACATAGTCTCTTCATGGTTGAGGTTCTGAGATCAGCTGATTACTCATAATCTTTATCAATACTGACTTTAAGGTGGAAGACTGGCTTGTCAATAAAACTACCCAAACTTTTGCTTTTAGTTTGTAAGGTCAGCATTTTAGTTTATAACATAAAATAGTATTCCTTTTTCAGTTCCTGCTAATGAATTTCTTATGAATGTTTTAATTTTGTAGATTATTTGGGAATGGAATTCTGTAATATGATTGTATTCACTTTTACCTTGGATGCAAGATTTCAAAGTCTTAATGTAAAATATTTCATTCTTCTAAAATAATTTCATTATTAGACAAGGTTAAATTTTAAAAACCTTTATTTAGCAGAGCAAGAATTAATGGCTCAAAGGAAAAAAAAAACAGCACAATCCAAGTAAAATTGGTTCTGGTGGATCCACGCTTAGGAGTCCCATCGTCATGTAGTATTTCTGATTATTGCCTTGAGGCCTCTTATTTCAGTTGAGCATCCTACATTTACATTGGTTTGGTGAAATAGATCAGACTCACTTGAACTAGTTGCATTTTGAGGATAACGTTAATACTACATGATTATAATGAGTATAGTATAAATTACAATGCTACTGTCTAGTGTAAAAAATGTATAAATACATTGGCTATGCAGTATATTAATATTTTGTTTTCTGCTTTTGTTTCCAGGAAACATAAAAGATATCATAATACTGTATGAGGAAGATGCAGAAGAATGGGCTCTTTACCTACTGGAAGTGTTCTCTCATGTTGTGAGTAGAGAAGGGATCCTCTTATACAACTTAGAGAGTTTCTCACTGCAGCATTTGGAATTAATGAGCTTAAATTTTTACAATTGTAAACTTTTGATATTATCAAACAGCCTGCTCAAAGACCTAACCCCAAAGAAGTGTCAGTTTCTAGAAACGCTCCTTCATTCACCAGAAAGTGTAGTGACTCTGCTTTGTGGAGTGAAGACTTCAGATCAGCTCTATCAATTATTAAATATCTCTGAAAGCAAATGGGAGATCTCAACCGCACAGGAGCCTGAGGACTACATCTCTGTGATCGAGAGTGTGCTATTCAAAGGTAAGGGTGCAAATCTTTCTTTTTTATCTTTATAAATCAATGAAAATATGGGAGGATAAATGAAAGCCAAGTTTTTACAGTTTGTACTTTCCACAAGATGCATTAGTGTTCTTATATTTTAGTTTAATCAAGGCTTATCAGCTTTGAAAATGGCTTTTAAAGAATTTCCAGGAAGACCTGATATGGCTGTGGCAGAGCAACTATGCTATCCCTCCCAAAATTACAGTTTGATATGGGAAGTTGGATTCTTATTTATTTAACTGATAACTTGAGAGTTCAGCCCACTGTCATTGACCAGTCATCAGGAGTTCAGAGTTACAATTACAGAGTATCAGTTGTGCTGATGGATGTATGATCTCAATTATTATGGTTTAAAGAGTGTCATTTTTCCTTTTAAATAAAACTTTAAGCATATAATCATTATGCAAAAAAGAGCACAAGATTCTATTTATGAACTAGAGTTTCCATACTCATCAAAGGTGTGATATGGACAATTGTTTAACTTCTCTCTAATGTAAGTGTTCAATATATGTGGAAGGGGTTTTATGGTCAAATGCTTGCCTGATTTTCTCAACCTGTATTTTGTTGTCAGTTCCATCTTCAGCCAGGGAAGGGGTGAGGCAGTTGTGCATAAAGGCCGTGTCAGATACTTAGTTGACTCATTTGCTTAGAGCAAAGCCTGAATTCTGCAGTTCCTTGGTGAGAGGAATTGATTTCTCTAATTATGGTTGTCTAACATATACAGATGATTATAATTGATTTCTATGGCTTTCTCATGATTGAAATCAGGCTGAAATGCTTCTGGATGAGAGTTCTTCACATCTGGTCCTGACCAACTCTGGGCATCTGAAACTTTTTTTTTCTTTTTAAAGATTTATTTGTTTGTTTGTTTTCATTGGAAAATCAGATATATAGAGATGAGGAGAGACAGAGGAAGATCTTCCATCCATTGATTCACAGTCCAAGCAACCACAAGGACCAGAGCTGAGCTGATCTGAAGCCAGGAGCTTCTTCCAGGTCTCCCATGTGGGTGCAGGGTTACAAGATGTTGGGCCATCCTCGACTGCTTTCCCAGGCCACAAGCAGGGAGCTGGATGGAAAATGGGGCTGCCGGGATTAGAAACAGCACCCATATGGGATTCTGGCACATGCAAGGTGAGAACTTTAGCTTCTTGGGCCCGGCATCTGAAACTTTCCAACCATAGTCACTGTCATCCTGCCTTCAAAGCAGCAACACAGGCATTATCTCTCCCATTTAGTCATTTCTAAACATGGGAGAAGCACAAGTGATGGTGCTGGAAGAGTAGGTGTTGTGAGGCAGACAGTAAAGCTGCTTCTGTTTGTGCTCGTATCCCCCAATGGAGTGAAGGATTGAGTCCTGGTTCTTCTGCTTCCAGTCTGCCTCCCTGCTAAGGCATCCTTGGAGGTCATAGAGGATGACTCAAGGTTTCCTACCACCCATGTGGGACACCCAGATGGAATTTCTGGTTTCAAGTTGACCTGGTCCTGGTTGTTTTGGTGTTTGGGGAGTAAACAAGCATATGGAATGTCAGTCTCTCAAACTCATTTTTTCTGTTTGTGTGTGTGTGTGTGTGTCTTCCATTCACCCCATTCTCAAACTTTCAATTAGATGAAATTATTGAACAGAAAATTTAAGGGTGAAAATAAGTTCATGGCAACACACCTATTGCAAATAGTTTGCTGGAAATTCCTTTCAATTTTCTTTAAGAAATAAATATCTCTTATTCTCCCCTTATGGGAAAATAGTTCTGTTTACAAAAAAAATACATTTCTTCTTGTTTCCTAGTATTGAAACCTCTTCAAATTCATTACTTCAAAAAATATTTACTTGTTTCAGAAGAGAGAGAAAGAGGGAAAGTGAGAAAGAGACAGACTGGCATGGATTATTTTGCTCATTTCTGATTTTATTTCCTAAAATGGTTTGCTTGTTTATTTGAAGGGCAGAGTTGTAGTAAAAGAGAGGGATAGACAGAACTCTTCCACCCACCAGTTGCTTCCACAAATGGGAACAATGGCTGGGGTTGGGCAGCTCAAAGCTGAGAAACTGAAATGCCTTATGGGTCTCCTACATTGCTGGCAGAGTCCCAAGCACATGAGTCATCCTCCGCTCCTTTCTCAGGCACTTTACTAGGGAGCTGGGTTGGAACCGGAGTACCAGGGACTCAACTGCTCCCATAGAGAGTGCAGCACTGCAAACAGCACTATTACTTGCTCTGCCACACTGTGGACCCCTCCACTTTATTTTTATTTCTTTCCCAAATGTAGATTCAAGTTTTAAGTATTGAAAGAATTTTTTAGACTTATAGGTAAATATTTTCTGTATTCTAATATTATGGTTTTATATTTCAGAAATTTCTTTTATGTATGTTATGGGCTTTTGTCAATGATGCATTCTACTATTTTTCTGTGATCTTTTTTGATTCTATAAACAACTGATTAACTTAGATTTCATTTTTCATTTCAACTGACGCTACTTTCTCATGGTTTTCATGGTTTCTCTTCCTCTGTATAATTTATAATTTCTCTTTCTTGTTTTACTTTTTTTCCATTATACCATTTTTTTCCTGTATACATTTCTGGCAAAGCACTTAAGCTAACAATTTGTCTCTAATTCTTGTTCTCTTCTCCCTCCTACCTTACAATTCTGTAGTATACAGTTGCTTCAAAAAGATGATTGTCATTCGTTTCATTTGGAAAATTCATGGTGGAATGTTTAGTTACGTTGTTTGACTTCCTTTGTGGTGGAATGCTTTTAGCTGGTTCTTTCCAGATGTCTTGAATCTCCCACCCACTCCTAATACCCAGCCAAGATCATAGCACCTTTAGTTCTGTTCTCCTTATGTGTCATGGAGTAAAGAGAATTTTGGAGGTTAATAAGTAGAGTCAGAAATGTGGATTTTGTTATTGGTTCTGTTTTTGTTTTTATTGTTTTCGAATAATAGACATTTGCAGGTTCATAGACACAGGCAGCTTTCCATAAACTGTCCTTTCTGTATAGTGCTGCACTTAGTATTGTATCTGTTTTGGAACCACTTTACTTCCAGAGATGTGTCCACCTGAAACCATTGCAGCATGTCTATACTTAGAATCAAGCGGCAATTGTCATTTTTTTTTGATCTGCCACTTCTAGTCTGTATCTTCCAAGTTAGTTTCTGTATCTTGTGGGATGCTTCTCTGTGCAGTCATCACTGATTTGTGAACCATTTCATTAAAATCTCCAGCATATCATTGTTTCCTCTTTTCACTAAGTAGGGTGTTTGCATAATTGTTTCTCATTTTCTATGTCTTGGGATGATTTCCAAGAATACAAAGGGGAAATATTGACATTCTATCACAAGATTCAAACTTGATGTCCTCATGTTTCTCTTTTGTTCTCTTTTTTTCTTTTGTGTTATTCACTTATCAAGTTTACTTCTTTGGGAAAAAAAAGATGTTATAATTGGAAAATTATGAAAACACTCACAAGAAAGTATAAAGAAAATATAAGTAAATGTTTACTACTTCTCTGTTACTCAAAAGATTAACAGAAAATTTTGGAGGGTTTCTCACATTTATAATTTACTTTATCAATTTGAATTGATTGGGTCACTAAAGTTATTACAGCACTATGAAAAATATATAAAGCAAATATTTTTTTGCTTGAGATGATTTGATTCATTATAAGGACCTTTGGGTGGATGTGAATTTAGTATTCTGCTATATCATTAAATTATAATGTGTTTCGTAGAAAAGCTTATATTTTCTAAATAACAGTACTATTTTTAAGATACTGCTAGATCTCATCTTCCCACATTTGAATGTTGAACTCTAATTCTTTCAAATATCTTAGATGGGCAAAATGAAAAATACAGTTGTGTTGTGTGGAAAAGATTCTTGAAAGATGCCATGCTTCTTAGTTACAAAAATGCCCTGCAATAAAGCAGGTTTCCAAACTACACATACAGTAATTTTTATAGATGGGTAGTTTTCTCTGACAAAATTGCGATACTAAGCACAGTAATGAATTTATTCTAATAAACAGCTTAAGGTCTGCTAAATTATTTTATGTTCCATGTTTCAATTTTGCTGAATGCATAATGTCTGGTCTCAAAATTAAGAATAGTGTTAAAATGGGTAAAGATATGATTAAAAATGTAGAATTTGACCATTATCACCATCAATTTTCTACACTCCCACAATCCATAATGAAATTATATGAAGAATAAAGTACGCTTATTATTCAGTAACACTTTGTGATAGGGAGTAATAAAAATGTCAAAGTCCTGGAAATAAGTCAACATTTCAACATGTTAACACAAGCAAAAATCAGAGGAATGTTGTAGAACTTAATGGAAGAGAAAGATGTTTTATAATTTAAGCTCTAGAAATAAGATATCAATATTAAAAGGTCTTAAAGTCATACTGTTTTACATTTTTTGAGTATTTTAATTCATTGTAAGGAATTAATAAAACTAAATGATTTGTCTTAATTCTCAAAACGGAAGTACAAAAAAATACTTTTTGTCTTCATACTTTATAACCATTTGACATCGTACTTTTTAAAGTTATTAGTTTTAGGCATTTTTGGTTCTTTACCTAATTTTCTTCCTGCCTTTACGTATTTGTAAGTTTTGTACAGCATTATTTATATGTAATATGCATAGTCTAATTTCAAATGTATGTTGAAACTTTTTTGTTAGTTGAGAGGCACAGGTGTGTTCTGCTTTTAATTCTCCAAATGTCCATAATTGGCTTTGGGCCAGCCAGGGGCCAGCGGGAAGACAGGTGTCTAAGACTCATTCTGGGTTCTCCCCTAGAGATGACAGTTGAATGATCAACTGCTGCCTCCTAGGGTATGTGTTAGTAGAAGACAGGAAAGTTGGAGTACAACTCAAGCTGGCATACATTAAAATAAGTATCCAGTGTGACATCTTGCCAGAACCAAAAGCCCACAGTAATCTCAGATTTGTACAAAGTCAACTATTGGGCCCAGCATGATG